TATTATTGATCTACTCGCATAGTATGGAGGAGAACGAACATCATTCGAGAGTTGTGCTTCAGACCTTGTGGGACCAGATGTTATATGCTAAGTTCTGCAAGTGCAAGTTCTAGTTAGATTCTGTGGCATTATTGGGGCACGTTGCATCAAGCGAGGATATTAAGGTGGATCCTAGGAAGATTGAGGCAGTCCAGAGTTGGCCTCGTCCTACCACATCGATCGAGATCAGGAGCTTCTTAGGGTTAGCAGGTTATTATCGTTGGTTCGCGGAGGGCTTCTCATCTATTGCGGCACCTTTGACTATATTCACCCAGAAGGGTGCTCCGTTCCGACGGTCTGATGACTACAAGGCGAGCTTTCAGAAGCTTAAGACCGCATTAACTACAACACTAGTGTTAGTGTTGCCCTCCAGTTCATGGATGTATACTGTGTTTTGTGACGCTTCACACTTATTGGACTGGGTTGTGTATTGATGCAGGAGGGGTGAGTTATTGCATATGCTTCACGTCAGCTGAATCCCCACGAGAAGAATTACCTCGCACATGATTTGGAGTTGGCCGCAATAGTTAATACCCTCAAGATCGGGAGGCATTATTTTTATGGGGTGTCCTGTGAGGTTTACACCGATCATCACAGCTCGTAGCATTTGTTCAAGTAGAGGGATCTCAATTTGAGGCAGCGCAGGTGGCTTGAGTTACTAAAGACTATGATATTACCATCCTTTATCATTCGGGTAAGGCGAATGTGGTCGAGGATGCCTTGAGCAGAAAGGCCGAGAGTATGGGTAGCTTGGCATTCATTTCAGCGGAGGAGAGGCCATTGGCTTTGGACATTCAGTTCTTTACTAATAGACTTGTGAGGTTGGATATTTCAGAGCCCAGCCGAGTTCTCACATGCGTTGTGACTCAGTCTTCATTATTTGAGCGGATCAAGGCTCGTCAATACGATGATCCGCACTTGCTGGTTCTTAAGGAGACGGTACTATAGGGTGGTGACAATGAGGTTACTATCGGTGAAGATCGTGTTCTACGACTCCAGGGTCGCCTATATGTTCCTAGTGTTGATGGATTTTGGGAGGACATTCTAGAGGAGGCACATAATTCTCGATATTCTATTCATCTAGGTACGACGAAGAAGGACATAGTTGATTATGTAGCGAGATGCCTAAATTGCGAGCAGGTTAGGTATGAGCACTAGAGGCCAGGTGGCGTACTTCAGTAGATGGTTATACCGGAGTGGAAATGGGAGTGCAGCACTATGGATTTCGTAGTCGGGTTGCCACGGACCTTGAGGAAATTTGATGTCGTTTGGGTCATTGTCGACAGGCTAACCAAGTCGGCACACTTTATTCCAGTGATGACTACATACTCGTCAGAGAGGTTGCCCAGATTTACATTCAGGAGATTGTCTGGTTGCATAGTGTGCCTGTTTCTATCATTTCAGATAGAGGCCCTCAGTTCACTTTGCATTTCTGGAGATCAGTACAGAACGAGTTGGGTACCGAGGTAGAGCTCAGCACAACTTTTCATCGGCAGACCGACGGGTAGTCGGAGCGAACAGATCAGATCCCGGAGGATATGCTTAGAGCATGTTTGATTGACTTCGGGGCTAGTGGGATTGATTCTTGCCTTTGGCCGAGTTTGCTTATAACAAATGTTATCAATCTATCATTGAGATTGCTCCATTTGAGTCTTTATATGGTCGGCGATGTCGTTCACCTATCGGATGGTTTGAGCCCGGCGAGGCTAGGTTATATGGCACTAACTTAGTGAAGGATGCCTTGGAGAAGGTAAAGTTGATTTAGGAGTAACTTCGCACAACACAGTCCAGACAGAAGATTTACGCAAATAAGAAGGCGCATGATTTGTCATTTATGGCGGGAGAGAAGGTTCTCTTGAAATTCTCGCCGATGAAGGAAATCATGAGGTTCGGGAAGAAGGCCAAGTTAAGCCCAAGGTTTATTGGCCCATTTGAGGTGTTGAGGCGAGTTGGGGCAGTTGCTTATGAGCTTGCTTTGCATCCCAGTCTATCAGGAGTTCATCCTGTCTTCCACGTGTCTATGCTCTAAAAATATCATGCCGACAGGTCGCATGTATTAAACTACAGCACAGTTCAGCTAGATGAGAGCTTGGGTAATAAGGAGGAGCTAGTTGCCATTGTTGACAGGAAGGTTCGCCGGTTGAGGTCTAAGAAGATTTCTGCGGTAAAGGTCCAGTGGAGGGGTCAACCAGTCGAGGAGGCGACTTGGGAGACTGAGGAGGACATGCAGAGCAGATATCCACACATATTCAGCACTCCAGGTATGATTCTAAACCAGTTCGAGGACGAATATTTGTTTAAGGGGTGGAAAATATAACTACTCGACTGATCATTTTGCTTTATAGATCCCTTTTCTCATAATTAAGACTTCCTATATGCACCTTTACTGTTTTATGACATGCGGGGATGGTTGACTTGGGTTTGGCGGGTTGAAATCAGAACACTTGGTTCCTTAATAGTGGCCTAAGATGGCCAAGTTTGACTTGAGTCAACGTTTTGAGTAAACGACCTCGGAACCAGGATTTGATGGTTCCAATAGATATATGATGATTTTAGACTCGGGCGTATGCCCGGAATCGAATTCGTAGGTCTATAGGTTGATTTGTGTTGTTTCGCCGAAAGTTGGCAATTTGAAAGCTTAGAATTTTGAGAAGTTTGACCGTAGGTTGAATTCATAGCTATCGTATTTGGATTTCTGTTTCAGGACTTGGAATAAGTCTGTTTTGTCATTTGGAACTTGTTTGCAAAGTTTGGCATCATTTCGAGATGATTTGATGGGTATCGGATGCGCGGTAGTGTTTTTAGAAGTTCTTGAGTTTCATGTTGAATTCATGTATTTTGACGTTCGATTCGTGATTTCGAATGTTATTTTGATGATTCGATTGTGCGAACGAGCTCATATTATGTTTTTAGACTTTTATTGATGTTTGGTTTGGAGCCTCGAGGGCTCGGGTGAGTTTCGGACGCGTTTGGAATGATTGGAAGAGTTGGAAATCTGCTGGTGTGATCTGGTGCCCAGGTCTGGCATTTGCGAGTTTTCGATCGCAATTGCGATGTTAGGCCAAGTCTGCTGGGTTAGCATTTGCGATGGGCGACTGGGGCGAGCTGGTTCGCATTTGCGATCCTTTTGGTCGCATTTACGAAAGTCCAATGCTTGCGATTGCGAACAATACGTCGCATTTGCAACTGTAGCAGGGGTGTGAATGACTTCGCTTTTCCGATGGTTACTACGTATTTGCGAACCCCAGGTCGCAATTGCGACTGGACATAAGAGTTGAGGGAGGAGATTTTGGTCTCATTTTCATATTTTGGAACTCTAGACTCGGTAGGATGCGATTTTGAAGAGGGATTTTCATCTACAATCTTTTGGTAAGTGTTCTTATTCAATTTCTAACTATTTTGCATGATTATTCATGAGATTTAACATCAAAATTATGAGAATCAAAGTGAACTTTTGAGAAAATTTGTCTATATTTTGAGAAATGAGAATCTGAGTTTTGAGAGTCGATTTGGACTCGGATTTTGAAACAAAACACATATATGGACTCGTGACGTTATGGGTAATAGTTATTTGTAAAAATTTTCAGAATCCAAGCACGTGGGCCCGGGGGTGAATTTTAGGAATCTTTCAATTTATTTTAGTTAATTACTCTAATAGTTAAATTATAGACTTTTGAGCATACATTGATTAATTTATATAATATTTGGCTAGTTTCAAATTGCGTGGCACCAATTTGAGGCTTTAGTGTGAATCGTGGACCTGGAAGAGGACTTGAAAACGAGATAAGTCTCTTGCCTAACCTTGTAAGAAGGAATTATCCCCGTATGTACTATAAGTGATTGTTTGCTAATAATTGTGGGTGCTACGTTCGCACGATGTGACGAGAGTCAGCATGTAGCTAAAATCATACTTATGTCCGGATAGTTTTAAGACTCTACCATGTATTTCTTGTATTATTTGTGCCTAACTTGTTAGTTTAATTCCTTAAATTATATTCAAAGATTGAATAAATGATTTGTAAAGACTAAGTTTCCCTACTTTGAGCTTTGGCGAGCTACTTGACTGTTGGTGGTTTTTATATTTTCCTTGAGTATTATTCTTGTGTAGTAGCCGTTAATCGGAGTTCGTAGAGTATTCTCTCTGCCTGTGTATCGGGTCGAACATCTCGACAGTATAATAGATGCATCTATGGTTCACGCCGGTCGACCCTTGGTAGTGTACACATTATTCTGGATCGGGTCGTACGACCTCGACATAAATCGTACGTGATATTGCTCAGAGTCAGATTATACGTGATATTTCTTCCATGACTTGAGAAGTTATAATTACTTGATGGCTCTTAATTGTTGAAAGCAATATATGATAGTTGGAGATTTTAATTGATATTTAGTTAAATAACCACTTATTTATTGTTCATAAGTTCGTTATTACTGATATATTCCATGCCTATTTATAATTGCTGCACTTTATCTATTGACCTTTTGTAAGTGTCATCGACCCTTCGTCACTACTTCTTCGAGGTTTGACTAGATACTTATTCGGATATGTTGTTTATGTACTCACGCTATACTTTTGCACTAATCATGCAGGATCTGAAGCAGGTGCATCTGGGGGCCATACAGGCGCGTACCCCCGTTATCCGGAGACTTAGTGGTGAGTTGCTCTCTATGCCCGTTCTGCAGTGCCCGGAGTCTCTTCTTGTTGTATTTTTTTTATGTCTGTCTTACTCCAAACGGTAGTATAAGAGGTTTTGTATATTCTAGTAGTTTGCTCATGCACTTGTGACACCAGATTTTGGAAATATTGTAGTAGATATTATATGATTTTGAGTATTAAATTCACTAATTTACTCTTTCATTATATTATGCCTTACATTACCAAAATCACCTAGTACTCTTATGCCCAAGTTGGGACCAAGTTTATTTCTTATAGTAAGTTCCTTTACCATTTGTATGATATAAAGAAAATATTAGTATTATCTCTCTCTTAATTCCTGTTGTTTTACTTTATTTCATGGAATAACAGATAAATTCTAATCCGATCCCAGGTATTCCAAACAAAGTCAATATCCTCGATTTGGTCTAATTCCTGTTCTCCAGTGCCGAAGCGAAACTCGAACTGTACTCTTAGGGTTCATAACTTCCTTCGTCTCCTCGATCAATCGCGGCGTTTTGAAATACTAAACTAAAGAGGAATCATCGATCATGAATTGTGAAGTTTGCCAGCTAAAAGAACTTGTAAGTTTCTGCTTTTGCTTTATGCATATATGAATTCTGAGTTTCTTTTTTGAGTTTGATCATAGTTTTATTTTTCGTATTTTTTTTTTGGGCTGAAGGATGTGGAGCATTTTGAGATACGAGAAGTCCTCCGATGTGAGTTCTGTTCATTAAATCGCGGCTGCTTTATTTGCGATGGCGTTACTACATGTGCGATTAGGGCATTAGGATGGATAAACATTGATAAACTTTTAGCTCATAGCTTATATTTGACTTGTTTGACTAAGTTTGGTATATGATGCTTGGTTGTTCTTGTTCCTGTTGAATATGTAATTTTTCTTTTTGATTTGAAAGTATTGGATGGTAGAAAGTTATAAACCTTCACCTATATACCTAAGTCTTGGTGGGCAGAGTTACCCAATACTTGCAGGTATTTGGTGAAATAGCCGGACACCACCTTCATTAAAAAAAAAAGTCATGAACCCTCTGATATCCATACATTTGATTCCCAAATACCACCAAGTCAAAACTGAAGTACTATAGAAAGTCTTGAGGACTAAAATGGATTAATCCATCAAAAGTAGATACCACAAGTTGACTTAGATAAGAACAATAAAAAAAGGTTAACTTCGATAAGATCTTTTATTGTACTACATATTACAGTCTAAATGTATTTGCATATGTTGATGAATAACTGAACAAACTGTTCAAGTTTTCACATTGTTCAAGCGTTCTAAGATGTTTTCTGAATATCTTATCGACTGCGGTTTTGACATTCACCTTTTGTGATTTTGTTTGTTTGCTATTTTGAGGTCAGTTCCTCCTATATTTCATCATTCAGTGGTTGCGATCTTAGAATTTCTAACAATTTCGACTATAGTATGGATACAGTGTGTATCTCTATCCCAAATAATAGAAAGCTGAATTGCAGGTATTTTTCATACTATTATGTTCCACAGAGCATTAGGCCTGCTGCGGCCGAAGGATGTTGATTCGGAACTCTTTGACATTATCTATGTAAGTGATAAATTCTTATAGTATTAGATTGGTGGGCTTTATCTCTTTTTCTTTTTAAATCAGTGCGGTTTCTTAAAAAAATGGAACAAGCTACTGTGACATGAGGATTCTTGATTGATTCAAAGACGAGACATGAGATGTGGATATGACATCATGAACTTTGAAAAGGACAGGGCGACATCTATGCTTGATGTTAGAAGCTAAGATATTTTAAAATTTTCAGATAAGGCAAATTAACAGTCAAACTAATTATTTGCTATAATGAGAGATGCTTATAGCGACACACTGAACTAGATGGAAATTTAAGTTTGTTTAGAATCAAAAGGGAGTTCCTTCAAATTATGATAGTTTAGAGGAGAGGTTGGTTTTAATACTGTAATGTACCATGTGTTTTTTGTTTTTCCTTTCCCTATTTTTTGGGGATCTCTTATGGTGGAAGCAATAAGTTCCTGATTTACTACTCTACGGTATAGTCTTGCTTTATTGGTCTTTCATGTTATGTTATGCAGACGCAGTGTGGTGATGCGGAGGTTGAAAAGAAAATTGAAGAGAAGATTACCCAATTCATTGATAGGGTTGAGAAGCATCCTAACAGGAAAAATCAGGTTAGTGGTTGCAGTTTGTTTTTGTAGGTGATGATCGTTGTTTTGGCCAATGACCATTCGCTTTCCCACTTTCTAGTTCTGTTCAAAGTTTACGTATTAAGATAGCCATTTCTTTTTCTTAAATATGCTCTTTAGTCATGAGAATTTCTCGTGATTTCTGGTGGTTTTTCGTTTCATACTGTTTGGTTCTTCTATTGTATGTTGTGATTCTCTCAGGATGTTGTTGCATGTAACCTTTTGACTATGTATAAGTATCTTGTGGAATTCTAATCACTAGTGAAATCAGTACTGGTCTAAATATCTAATGGAACCTTTTGTTGTAACATCAACATACATATTTCTGTAACTGGATGGAGAAAATATGCAGATTTGCCTATCCTTTTATGAAGTCAAAAACAAACAAGCCTCATGGTTCGCCAACAAAGTTGAGCGTTTCTACTGGGAATACTGGTACATAAATTTGAATGTGGCTCATCATCCGAAAGGTCATTCTGGCAAGTCCAATCTCTCAAAAGTAGTTGATCCAGGAGGTACCACCGTTTATTTTTTCCTTTCTTTTTTTGAAACCGTTTTGCCATACAGTTTTATAACATGTTCATTAAGTCAGTTTTGTAAAGGGAAGTAAATTTTTTTGCAGAAAGTGCCTCTGAAGAGAGGAATGCCCGACGCACAGTGTTAGAGTCATCTCTTCGTGAAGTTATGTTTCAGATAATAAAATTTGTAAATGAAAAAAAGGACCATATTCCTGCAATACCAAATCTTGAGTGTGTCACATTTCCCTATGAGATCTCTATCTCAAGGTAATTTCCCCCCTTTCTCTAAGTTGTGAACATGCAATTAAGTTCTGTTCTAATCATTGATCTGTATACAAGTTTGCTACTATTGACTTCCAACTATCACTATTTGATTTGTCGGGGTTTTTTTTTCTGATTTTTATTGATAGGAAATCTGAAATGCATTTGATTTCCTTGAGTGCAATTTGGTATTTATTCTCTGTTTCCAATTATTTGACATTAGAAGTAGGTTATCAGCTTACCTTTTAAACAAAAAAAAGTGGGTTATCAGCTTTTACAAATAAATGTATTCTTTCTGACAAAAAATCTACTAAGTCCTTAACATGATATATGTATGTAGATGTATATGTGCACGTGTATATGTATATGTATCTTCAAAATCTTCACATCAGTGGGGTTAATCGACCTAAGGCATCATTCAGGAGGGAAGAAAAATTATATCTTCAGTACATGTGTTCTCCTTGTCCGCATCAATAGAAAGAAAGAGTGGAATAGGTTTCTGACGACTAATTATATTGTCCAGCCTATGTTAGTCTCCTCTCTTCCTACTTCTACCTTAAATTGATATCAGTGCAGTTTGTTGAGTAGCCAGTTATTTCTGTGTCTGACAACCTGCATGACTATTTTGGCTAATAATGGTCCTTCTATACATGTGGTATTCTTTTTCTCATATGCTCATTTGTACAAGTAATGCAGTTACATCTGCCACTTAGATGCTTATGAAAGATTTAAGTTTGTTCTGGGATATATGTGGTTTTTTAGCCTCCGTTTTATAACACTCAGCTCAGTAATTGCCTTGTGCCGAGGACGCATACTCAGCCTTGGGTCTAGTATTCTAATCAGTTTCTTCCTTCTACTTCAATTTTGTCCCTTCTGCTTCTAATGGCTGGTCAATAACCTATTTTTTCTGGTGGAAGTTTTGGGTGTTCTTGTGGAGTCAAATGTTGGAACATGACTCCTAATCTTTTGTGTGAGGAAAAGTAGATTGGAAACGGACCACTAATTACAATTGAGAACCAAACTACGCGCGGTAGGATTCTGGTTTGACTCAATCATTTGAATGTTGTGGTTATCTTTCCACATGTATGTACATATATAGAGGATAAATTATACTTGACCTTACGTTATATCACGCACAAGACATCTTATTTAGCTGATGAAACTATGGTGCATGTTAATCTCTCTGATCATAAGTTCTACCATTATAAGACTGGCAATGGCATCAAATAATTGTTAAGGACTCCCCAAATTGATGACATCATAAGATCTCCACCCTTTATGAAGAAAGAAAAAAAGGGTTTAGGATGACAATAAAGAAATAAGAATATATAAGATAAATTGAAGTGGCATATTTGTCAGAAAGTTCATGATTGTAAATAAGTATTGTTCTTGCTGAAGCCCTTTATTGTGGGAGGTCATTGTAATTCTGGAAGCTAGAGGATAGCTTTCTGTACTGGAACAAGTTAGTTCAAAGTAGTACTATTTAACTTACACCTACATAAACAAGTTAGTTCAAAGTAGTACTATTTAACATACACCTACATAAATATGTAGCTTTATTTAAAAGAAATTTGACATGTATCACATTCCAGCTAAGTTTTGTGTTGCCTTCTTTAGTTCATCAGATTCTGCTTTTGGAATGGATGTGATCAGGAGAATGCTGCAGACTGGGCATCCAACTATGCTCAGCTGATTGGAAATCTCCTGAGGGGAGGCCAATCTTCTCTGTATCCCCTTCATTAAGAGGTAAAGTGGTTGTCAATCCAACGTCTGGCAATGTGAATATTTCGGGCCAAAGTCGAGTATGTGTGTGATCTAGTGGCTAAAGAATCGCACAACTGAAAGAAATTGAAGCTACATGTACATATTAGCATAATCTACTAATGTTTTATCTTGTTTTTGTTTTCATGTTTCTTATCATAGTAAACAAAGCATATAGCTGAATATTATTACAAGATCAATCTAATTAAATTTGTTTACTCTGCAGCAGTAGTCTCTCTGTGTATGTCTGCCTTGTTGTTCGTATACCCTATTTTTTTTACCGCCAGCTGACTTTATCTGCGAAGCAGCCTGGGTTGTCGAATTTTGAGCCTTTATCCCTTTGGTGGTGGTTGTTTTTGTTGTTGTTGCCTCTCTGATGTTTCTGTTAGCTGCACGCTGCATCCTGTTTAGTTTCTTTCCAGATAGTTAACTGTATGACCGATGCTTCCTGACATGCCATAGGTGCCCGCTTAAATTTCTGTTTTTACTCCATAAAGTTGTTTTCTGCATTATAATGAAGTCCGCGATATCAAAGATATTGCATTCGACCAAATCTTTGAAATGCTATGTGTTAGTTTATATGAGTCCACCAAACTATAGAGTACCTGGTCCTCTATGAGTTTCCACTGAGAATACTAATGAAATAGTAAGTAAATGAGATATGGGATTTTTACGTGGAAAAATCTCACTCAAGGGGACAAAAACCACGACCTACACTTGTAGGCTTTCAACTTCACTAACTTGTAAACACTCGATTACAAGCCACTTTGTAATGACTCTATTACAAAGACTTCACCCACTCTAACTTGTAATACACTTATCACAAGCCACTTTGTCACTTACTGTTACAAAGGATTTAACTTATGACTAACTCTAGTCACAACAAAAACTCTGAAAGTTTATGGTTTTACAGAGGGGTTCCTATGTACCGCTTCTAACTAAGCAATTTAGGAATTACAATAAGAAAAATCACAAAGTTACAACTCAACTAATGACAACAGAATACTCGATTTAGGAACTGGTCTGTAGTAGCGTTTTACTTTGTTCTTCAAGCTCTTGAGGATTGAGTTCACTGTTTTTTCCAAGTCTTGAATGCTTGAAGTAAATTTTTTAGTGTTCAAGTGATGTCTTGATATAATCTTCTTGTTAATACACCTTTATGACATCACTTGAATGATGTATGCACTTTAGTTGGTCAAAGGACAATTGACCGCCGGAAACAGTGCAGTGCAGGCAGAAACAGTGCAGGCAGTCACGTCGCTTCCAGTTGTATCCAATTGACCTCGTACTGCTATGAGTGAACCACAAGGATATCAGGTCCTTGTCTGGTTCTCTATCTCCTGAAGCTATAACAGTTCACATTTAGCTGGATTCCGTTGATTTGCAGTGTAGCCCAAGTGTGTCAGGCTCCCTCTCTGGTTCTTGACAACAAGTTTGTTAGATCATTAAAACATAAGGCAAAGACATTGAAAACCCATCAATTTTCCCCTTTTTGATGATGACAAACTTAGACATTGATAACATGTATTTGGAGCAAAGAGAACCAGATAGGCTAACAGGAATTTCACAAGTTCCCCCTGACTTTATACTTCCCCTTAATCAGATCCTTGATACAAATTATACTTCCCCTTTTGGCATCATTAAAACGACACAAACAGTCAAACATCGTAAAGAAGTCTAGCCAAGCTAACTCATGCCACATATGTGCACTCAACATGATAGAGAAGAGAAATAGAGAATTCTAGCAATGAGATAATAGCAGAGGATAGATTTTATATATATATATATATATATATATATATATATATAGGCCTTTGCTTCAATTTCCTTCTACGCGTTCGCGTCTCTCTCCACGCGATCGCGATAGCCTACCCAGTTTACCCTTCGCAAACGCGGCCCCTCTCCCGCGAACGCGAAGGGCAATTTTGCCCAGCGAATTTTTAAGTTAAAAACAGAACAGTAGCTCGGGATTTTCATATAATTGGACTGTTAAAGACGGGAGCAGTACTGGTACATCCCAACCACATCAAAAAAAGGAACAAAACATCTGCCATGAAAAAAAAATAAATTAAAAGAACAATCCAGAAATTGGTCACTGAAGGGGTACTTAGGGGGCACTAGGAGTAGAGGGCTTGGAAGCTGCAGCAAGAGTTTGGAGAACTAAGTCTATTTGGGCATTGGCCGACTTTTGCTCATTGAGCAGTTCTTTTTTCAAGTTCTCCCCTTGTGCCCTGAGATCAGCATTCTCTTATACCAAGCGAGCCACGTCATTATTTGACGCCGGAGCCCCTTGGGTTTGCTTACCTTCCAGGATATCATTCTTGGCCTTCGACCGTCTAATCTCCTCAGTTGCACTAGTTTGAGCATTAATAAGCTGTGAGATGGTTGATGTACTGCCTACCCCCC